ATCTTTCGAACGCCTGTACGCGAAAAGCATCAGTTATCTCGCTGCACCCTACTGTCCATTCAAATTAATTCAAAATAACGGTTGGGATCTGCTCCAAAACCCAGCGCGCGAAAGGTTGCGATAGGCTCAGAAGCTTCAAACCTATCAAAATTTCACCTTCTACCCTCGTCTGCTTTGCTAACCTACCTTCTCTCTCGTTCGCCTTGTCTACCGCTCTGCGAAGGTCCCCTCTCTCCCGTGTGAAGGTTCCCTCTCTCTCGTGGCCCTCTCATCTCTCTATGCTGCTGCCCTCACTCTCTCTGCGCTGCTGCCCTCACTCTCTCTGCGCTGCTGCCCTCACGCCGTCTCATCGCTCGCCCCCTTCTCTTAAGGCCTTTCTCTCTCACTAGCTGCTTTAAAGAGAGAAGAAACCTTCTTCATGGAGGAAACCCAACAGGTTTTAGTTCTTTCTCTATTACGATTTTGCATATCATTTTTACTTTCGCCATTGATAAATGGAACGCGAGTTCTCCATCTCTCAGCCTGCATTAATTCAGTTTGTATCATTTTTAGGCTTGGTATGGATTTTCTTCTGTACTCTTTTACCCAATTTTTTTCTGGTTAGTTCTCTCTCTATTACGATTTTGCACATCATTTTTCCTTTTGCCATTGATATATGGAACGTGAGCTTTCTATCTCTCAGCCTGAATTTATTCAATTTGTATCATTTTTAAACTTGGTATGGATTTTTTGTTGGGCCCTTTTACCCAATTTTTTTTTGAATTCAATCACAAAAACAGAGGTACAATGGTGCAATTGAATTTTATTACTTTCATTTATCATTGATTCTGAAAGAAAACTGAATTAGATTGTTATAAATGGGTTTCACTGCATAATTTTTATTATTTGGATCTATAACTTGAAGAAGTTGCAATGAATACAGCTGAATGCCCTAATAGAAAAAATATTTCCCGACTTTCAATTGAAATTTTGATACAATTATTTGGTTTTATGCCATGCTTTTATTCTTTAAATAAATTTGGGTTCAATATTCATTTCCCTGTTCTGTGTTTTTTTTTGTTGGGAATTTGAAGTTGGTGATGACCAGGTAAAATGCGTCCATTGATAATTCAATACCTTTAAAAATGTTGGTGATCTCCAAATTTATTTCACAGGCTGCCAAAACTATGCTGTGATCATGGTCATCCTAATGATTTAGTTCTGATCATGTATCCTAGCATTTTAAAATTGTCTCAACGCAAACTGGTTATAATTTACACTACCAAATAATTTAAGGATAAATAAGAGATTACATGAACATCCCAATACCAATGAAGCAAGAGAAAATATGTATGAAAGAATTAGAAAAACAAATTACATCCTCTGCATATGTTGAAGAGTTTATATTCGATATTGTCCTGCAAAGTTCATCATTCTTCAAGGTGTTTTTGATTTCATCAGAACTAACTGCAAACGAAAATAAGAGATCATTACAATTTCAGAGCATGAAAATAATTACTGAACTTGTGTGACCCAATAGGGGGGAAGCCACAAATTTCTAGGCAGCTATATCATTTATTCAAATTCTAGCATGAACAAGCTGTAGATTCATAGACCTAACACTACGTACGATAAAATTCCATTAAAACAAAAGAATGGATAAAAAAATGCACCTATTGACTCTAACTAATCCTTTTGAAGCACCTAACTTTCTTCATTTGCTTGGATTGATCTTTCAGATAGTAAATGTGTTTCTGCATTGTGCATTGTTCTCTACAAATGCATTAGTATAAGGGAACATAAGATTCAAGTGTTGTGAAACTTGACACAATCTAGTTAGCATGCTAGCTGATATTGTTGGCAACCTTTGACCTATGTTGTGAGGGATATACTTCAACTACATATCCCAACATTATTGCACACATGAATGTTAACCATGAAGTATCTGTAAAAGAAGAAATGTGTTAAGATGAATATTTTAAAACAATATCTGCTGTCAAAGAATTAAAAGTTTAATGTTATCAATTTACATTTGAGGAATCGGCTTGCCGGACAAAGTTAAGCAAAGATGAAGGACTATAACACACCATACAGAGAAAATAAACCAATATGATGCAAGTGAACTTATGCAGCAAGTTTTAGGAAACAATTAGTTCCAGTTTATCCATGCTTTGTCTGTTGTCTGGAAAATTGAGGATTCAAGAAATTCCAATTTCAACTCAACGAACTACGTTTCTGGGTTGTTCTGCTGCATCACCTATCTATTGGACCTTGAGTATCAAATCGTGCACTCAAATTCAATTGTTACTAATAAAAAATGAAAAAAAAAGGATATATCAGATGCCTTGAACATGTAACAACACGAACCATCACTTGCTGAAAATTCAAGAATTTTTCTTTTTTTTATAGTACTTTTTAGTTGTAATTTCTTTGTGACTTGTGTTGAGTAAAGTCTACTTTTTTTAAGTTGACAACTCTTGGCATGGAATAAGCCTTAAAAGAAAGAACTATGGGCACCTTTTGTGCTTTCTTTTCTTTCCTTCTTAACTCTTCCATTCTCTAGCGATTGAATTATATGCAAATACTTTGCTATTTCAAATATATGGCTGGTATTTCAACTGAGTGGTGGATTTTAGTATCATCGCTTTTTATGCTTTTCTCTGGTTGAACAGTGTATGAGTTCTTTGGTATGCTGGTTTTAGGAACTAATGCCTATGGAACCATCAGTATTCAAGTCATTTTCTCTTGATCATTTAACCTGAATCTTTGTGCAGTCTTCTCAAGCGGTAGTGAATCAGCTTGTACCACCTAGCAGAGGTTTGTAGTTCTGAGCCTTTAATACTTTGATACTTTAGACCGAAGCTTTCAGGAATTAAAACTCAGATAAATAGTATGTTATGAAAGGAAAACCCACAAAATTGTTTCTAATTTATAATCACTGTGAAGACGAATTCTTTTCTAGACAATGTTATATGGCGCTTAACTGATCCAAAGAAAAAAGGTACTCCAAGCTGCATCCATGGTGTGTTCCCATTGCAGGATGGTTGTTTATCAACGTCCCTAGTTGAATGTCCCTATGGGCCCCTTGACTTCGAGTATCATGTACAATAGTCCAATAGCAGTGATGTGCTTTCCCTTTTACTATATTTACTAAAATGACATATTCCTCATCCTCGACATGGATTACTTAAATTGCAGCCTACAACCTGGAGTTTTATACAGATGTGCAGGATTTGTCTTATTTACAATACCACCTTGATCGAGATCCATGCTCTGCCAAGTACAGGTTTGGTGCTTCCACATCAGGCCTTATTTCTCACTTTGCTTGAGCCAAAAGTACCTCACTCTTCCTTTGCAGGAAACTCACCAAAGAGCTATGCGAAGTTATTGAAGATTATGGTCTGGTCAATTTCACCAACATTGGATATTCAGGTATCTCAGAGAATGTGCTTGCTGCTTCCAATGATGGCACAAGCACAGAGGACGGTGAGCAAGCAAGAAGGGTAGTCTTGATGTTCTTAGAGCGGCTTTCCCACCCTTATGGTCTAAAAAAATCAGCAAAGTAGCAACGAAATAATGAGATGGTGTATGGAGAACAAGCTGCCATGGAAGTACTGATACAACACTTTGAGCCTCATTTGCAAAATTGGGGAGAGTTTGTTAGGCTTCAGAAGATCACCAAGACAACCCTAAAGATGAGAGCTTGGCTGAGAAAGCAGCTGCTCAGAGTTTGCTGTAGAGAGTATCTCAGTCACTTAAAACTAGCTCGTCTGGAGAGAGACTCAAGGACATGATTCTAGAGAGAGGGATTACTGAATTCGATGTCGAGAGGTGTTTGACCTCCTTGTGTCTTTTTTCCTATTTCATGAGGTATTTGACCTCCAGTGGTTTGTAAATGATTGTAATTGGTCGTTGTTTAATTAATGGTAATCTAGTGAATTGTAAATGATTGTAATTGGTAGTTGTTGAATTAATGGTAATCTTTTGTGAATGAAATTCTCTGGTTTCTAGTATTATTCAGTTTATGGTTTTTTGTTTTTTTTTGAGACACACACATAAAGATAGAGAGAGAGAGATAGAGAGACAAAGAGATCTAGTCATCAACTACAATGAAGCACATATAATCTCTTGTGAATGAAATTCTCTTGGGTTTTTTTTTTTTGTATGCCCTCTGGTGCGGTAAAAGGTGAGAATGTATCAAACGTTCGACATAAAAACTAAAATAAAGTGAGAAATGTGGCGATATAAATGCATTTCATTATCCAAGTAAACCTACATTGCACACGTTAATGAATTACATGGAAAAGATATAAATGTCACACATATGTTACCAAAAAGTCACCAAATAGGTTCTTTAGATGCCCCATAAAGAGGTCATTTATATGCCCCTATAGAGTGGTCCTTTACATGCTCACAAAATTACATGAATATTGAATATTCACATAACCCCCAGAGTCAACTACAAAAAAGGGTATTTACAAGTCTCCAAAATTCAAAAAATTAGTCAAGTCCTTTACATTCGCCATAATTAGTCAAAAAATTAGTCAACTAGGTTCGAGGTCCTTAGTAGCTCTACATCCCACGTGCCTTCATGGGATAGTTACGTTTGTCATGTCCACTCTTATTGCAAACTTTACACTTCCTTCCAGTGGGTGGCCCGTCCTTTGACTGTTAAGCTTTTGGCCCTTCCTCCCAGGAAGGCTTTATCCTTTAGTCCTTGGTCATCCAACTGCTCGTGCATATGGTGGATCGAGTATAAGGGGGGAGGCATTAACTGATTTAATACTGCCACATACTTCATCTTCAACGGCATTACAATGGGTGGAGGCTGATAGTGTATGAGTATTCGACAAAGACTCTCTTGTTGCATTGATCTCCTCAGCTAACTTGGAGAAACCCAACTTCACTTTTTCAAATAGATCATCATTATCTAATGTTGGCTCTACAATTGTTCTCACAATATCATAAAGCTCATGACGTCGAATGAGACTCGAAAATTTAGATATAGTCGAACAACTAGCACCACATTTGTCTTTGACACCCTTCTTTGCATCCATTGTCCAACAGCTCAAAAAATGTAGTTAGATGGTCATTCCCTTTCATATAGAAAACCCTATCAATTTTACGTACTTATTATAACAATCATAAACTTCATCTTCGCCAGTAAATGCCATTCCTATCGTCGGTTCGATACTTGCACCTCTTGTTAGGGCTGCCTCAGCATCTATAAGTAATGGATCTCCTTCTCCATTTATTACAACTAGGTCCTCATCAGATGGAAAATCATGGCAAGCTTCATCCACTATAGCCTGAGCACCACACTCATTCCCATTTTTTGAATTAGTAATGTTGAGGGGAGGCATCCATGACGCAAGGATAGTATACTTGTCCAACCTCTTCTGTTAGCGCTGGCGTAACAATGGGCTGTGTCGAGATCTGATCCTTTGATCGGGAGCTACTCATCTCGCATGAACCTATTTGCACCATTAATAACAAGTAAGCAACATAAAACCCCAAGATTTCATTTCAAACTTCAATTCTGGAACTCAGAGCTGAAGCTGAAATTAGATTTCAGTCTATAAAGAATTTGAGTTAAACAAAAAATCAAAGGGCAACTACAGAATCTCTTCATATTCTTGACTGAACTTCAGCCAAATCCTAGATTCAATTGCAGGAAAATTCACCATTGTCATAAAAAGGATGAGAAAACCAAGTTCATATCTTGGTTGAATTATGGCCATTACGGCCAAATCACTTCTATCAGTCTCACTAGCCAATTGGACATGAACCCACTTCCCCCAAAAGAGAACAAATAAAATAAGTGGAGGTAACTGAAGAAATTAAATGAATATGACCAAAAATTTCATTTCTCAAATTCAAATTCCCAACAAAAAAAATCACAGAACAGGGAAATGAATATTGAACCCAAATTTATTTAAAAAATAAAAGAAAAGTTTGCATTGTGAAATAGAGAATAAAAGCATGTCATAAAACCAAATAATTGTATTAAAATTTCAATTGAAAGTCATGCATTATTTTTTCTATCAGGGCATTCAACTGTATTCATTGCAACTTCTTCAAGTTATAGATCCAAATAATAAAAATTGTGCAGTGAAACCCATTTATAACCATCAAATTCAGTTTTCTTTCAGAATCAATGATAAAAGAAAGTAATAAAATCCAATTGAACCATTGTTCCTCTGTTTTTGTGATTGAATTCAGAAAAAAATTAGGTAAAAAGGCACAACAAAAACTCCATACCAAGCTTAAAAATGATATAAAGTGAATCAATGCAGGCTGAGAGATGGAGAGCTCACGTTCCATATATCAATGACGAAAGGAAAAATGATATGCAAAATCGTAATAGAGAGAGAACTAACAGAAAAAAATTGAGTAAAAGGGCACAGAAAAAAATCCATACCAAGCCTAAAAATGATACAAACTGAATTAATGCAGCCTGAGACATGGAGAGCTCTCGTTACATATATCAATGGCGAAAGAAAAAATGATATGCAAAATTGTAATAAAGAGAACTAAAACCTGTTGGGTTTCCTCCATGAAGAAGGTTTCTTCTCTCTCTAAAGTAGCTGGTGAGAGAGAAAGGCCTTGAGAGAAGGGGGCGAGCGATGAGACGGCGTGAGGGCAGCAGCGTAGAGAGAGTGAGGGCAGCAGCGTAGAGAGATGAGAGGGCCACGGGAGAGAGGGGACCTTCACAGAGCAGTAGTAGAGAGGCGAACGAGAGTGAAGGGAGGTCAGCAGAGCAGAGGGTAGAAGGTGAAATTTTGATAGGTTCGAAGCTTTTGAGTCCATCAGAGCCTTTCCCGCGCTGTTTGGGGTAGATCTCAACCGTTATTTTGAAGTAATTTTAACGGATGGTGGATAGTGGTGTGGCGAGATATATGTTGTTTTTCGCCGATAGGAAAACTTTTCTTTTATATATATATATATATATATATATAATAGTTGGCTCATATATTCATATGAGCTAGTGGGCTATTTATTTCAAGTGATTTGGATTTATAAAAAAATAAATAAAATTAAAGCGTTACTGGATAATCGTGATCGTCAGATCAGCCTATATAC